CAATACTTAACACTCTGTATTACATAAACTGTACACACATAAACACTGATCAAATGAGTGCATCCCAGCTATATATATATATATATATATATATATATTTTTTCCTCTTTACCTTTTCTAGTATAAGATTAGCTATAACAAAGCATCTTTTTGTAAACATAATACAGTCAAAAGTCTTTAATCCGGACATTCATAAGCCGAAATGATCTATAATCCGGACCTCAAAGCTACAAGCTTTCTGCGCATGCGTAAATGCATAATGCGTTTATGCATGCACATAATACGTTTACGCATGCGTGTTTAATGTATAACGGACGGTATAAGCTAAAATTATCTAATAATCTATTTCAGTTAATGTTGCAGATTGCGTTGTTCCTTAATCTTCGAATTGGATCCAGTTTATTATTTTTTGCAGACTGTTACAGCAATTTTATAAAAGTATGCTTGAACTTTCGATTATGTCAAATAGAATTTCCAATGCTGGATCCCAAAGGATCTACAAAGCGAAAGTATGTTATGATGTCCATCAAACAAAAAATGGAATTGCTGCAGAAAATGGATAAAGGCATATCCTTTGTTTCTCTAACCATTCCGAAATCTGTTTATCAATTTCATGCTGCTCTGCGGCGGGGGGGGGGGGGGAACAGCATGGCGCGCAATGAATTGGAAGTTGATCTGTCAGCACTATCCTTATTCTTCAGGGCAGATGTTTTTATTTTATTTGGCCTATAATTCCTTACTAAATGTAGTATTTCATCTCGATGTACTCCGTCTTTGATACGATTTAAATCAAATTCCTCGTCATTACAATTCGCTTCCGATAGTGAAGAAAGTGACACAGAGATTATTGAAAACGAAAAAATTTCGATTGACAAATTAGTCGGTATTCTCAACACAGCAATTATAGGACTTGAACAGCGGAACTTTGTAACTAACCAAGAAATTATGTCTGTTTAATAGAATTAAAGAGAAAGTATTATCACATAAAACAAAGCAATCTAACCAACTTACATTGAAAGAAATGTTTAATAAAGTAAACAAATAAATATCAAGCTTTTTCTTTTTGTAAATTTTGATACCCTTTAGATCATAATTGTTCTTTATTTCATAAATTACAGTTTCATATTTTTAATTTTGTAATTTCTGCATGCCATCTTACCAGATTTAAACTGATGATCTATAATCCAGAAAAACCAATAATCCGGAATCGCCGAAGTCCCGACGAGTCCGGATTAAAGACTTTTAACTGTAGCAGACAAGGTAATGTGAATTTTCTTTCTATGAATAGTATTTTTGTTTTGTAACACAAAACATAACTGTAATCAATTGCAATGTGCTTTTGGAATATTTGGATTTGCACTTTTGGAATATTTAGCATTGCTTGATTGTGATATTTATTGCTGGTCACAAAACAGATAATTCTGGAAATCTGCCTCCTGACAAACACAAAATAACATCTTCCAAGAGAAACAGTACCAAATTTACTCTTAAAACTTAAATTCCATTCCAAAGCAGTTAACAACCCCCATGATAATTTCACAAACTTCTTTCATGGAATGAGCAAGCTGGAAAACATCTTCGGAAGCACTAAATTATCCCAAAAACCTTCCCTTTTAATAACAACCTAGAACAACTGAGAAGTGCTGAAATCCCAGTTATGGAAATATAGAGTACAGGAGGTCATTTAAAATTAAAGCATAATTTAAAATAGAAATTAAATTAGAAATATAAAAATAATAGTAATTCCGAAAGCGAATAATTATGTAATAAATTTGTAAAATCAAAAACTTTCATGTAATGCATACAGCAGAATAAAAATTTTAACAAATAAACAAGATAGAAATTAATTTTCAAACAGAAGATTTTAGCTTTTACTTCACTAGTATTAGAGAGCACACTTCACCAGGAATGAATTTCATCTGCAGCTTGTGTGTTTGCTTCACCACATACTGCCTTGGACTTCAAAATCCTCTAAAGCAATCAAACTGGTTTACACTGCATCTAAGATAGCTTGCATTGTTTGCTCAAATGAGGTGAAACATACAAGAGCAGGGGGGTGATGACGATACATTTTACAATCATAAGCTGATGTGTGGGGTCATTTTTTTAATTTGCATATCTATTTTGTAGCAACAGAATTAAACATATGGCAACAAAGATGGTACAATCATTCTGCTTATCCTGCAATAAACAAACTTATCTCTTCAGAGAATATAGAACTCACTACGATTGGTGCAGTGGTTTGTCATTGAGGTAGTTTCACAGTTCCGCAAATGACATTTCCACACTTGACAACTGTGAATACAAGAAAATGGTCATAACTAATTTCTGTACTCCTCAGAGTCATAATTAGCCAAGAACATGTGCATTTCATCATAACCAAAAGGAAATAATCAATCACCCTATGTTGACTCATTTTTTTGTGGGGGGGCTAGGAATACTGTCCATTTCTGCTCTGACAATTGCAGTCAACAGTACTTGCATGCTTTTAGCACTTTACTTACGTTCTTTTTAGGAATTTCGGGGGGGGGGGGGGCTAGGAATACTGTCCATTTCTGCTCTGACAATTGCTGTCAACAGTACTTGCATGCTTTTAGCGTTTTACTGACATTCTTTTTTAGGAAATTTATGTCAAATGAATTTTTCTGTTATTGCAGCATACATACAGAAATCATTTGTAGTGCACAACCACTATGTATAACAGCAATTTCATGTTAATGCAGATACTAAAGTGCTACTTGGAAATGTAATAAAAGCAAAATTAAAAGACACAAAAGTTGGGTTATGTTGCAATACGAAATACTACTGAAAGATATAAAACATATTTATTTATAGCACAGATGAAACAGAAATAATTTGGCTTTCATATTTCTTGCTTTTTTCCATACTGCATTTTGGATGGCCAACAATGTGCTAACCAATGAGAAATTTTATTGTAACAACTTGATAATTTTTAATAAAGATGATAATGTAAAAAAGTAAAACTAGAATTTTTGCCATTGAACTATTGGAAAATTTTTACTTATTACTTTAATTTTGATAAAGTAACTACAATAACGATAGTTTGCTGGAAAAATAAGCTAGAAAGTTAAGATGAGTACAATTTGCTAGTTAAGTTCATCAGATCTAATTCTTTCTATCTTTCCTGCTGCTATACCAACAAAAGTAAACAAATATGACCAATATCATGACGTCACAGCAACATTGTACTCCAAAAATATGTCTTGGAGTTTTACTTATGGTTTAGATCAGATAGAAAAATGTTAATCCCTTTCCATAACCACTCAAGAGCCATCAGCATTGTTGCAACTAACACTAATCAGTGTATTTTCATTAGCCACTTTGAGATTCTACAATTAAGCATTTGAAATTGACAGACAGGAAATCTCAGTTAGTTGGAAACGGAAAAAATAGCGCATTTTCTTCTCTCCTTTTTTTTTTTTTTTTTTTTTTTTTTTTTTTTTTTTTTTTTTTTTTTTTTTTTTTTTCCCCTGTTAATTTAAAGGTGCTGCATTCTCCATCCCTAGACTTTGTAAAAAAAAACAGGTAGTTCAGAGGTCAGGATACTGGATATCTGAATTTCAGACTTTGTACTGTACTTGTACTGAAAACTAGATGAATAACCAATCATACACCCAAAAGTTTTCATTCTGGGATGGCTCATTGTTTCTTGTTGTTTACAATACCAGTTTGCCATGGTTCTGCTACCAGCTTCATAGTTTGATTTCTATATTCCCTCAAAATGTTAATTCACACTAAGATTGGAAGTTATAGAAAAGAGACAGAAATGACAAATGAGCAAAATTAAGGACCAGTATCAAAGTTTAGCCAAAATCACTTTTTAAGGAGGGTACGAATCTTGAATTACAGTAAGCATTCGTCAAAATTACAGCATTTGTAGAAAATTACACAAAAATATCATTGATCCTGAGAAATCATTCAACAGCAGATATAGAAATTTTACAATGAATACCGTGCATAATAAGTGATATTAAATATCAAAATATTATTTTAGTATGTTTCACTTGTTTCAAAATAGATATAATAACCATTTGGTTTGGAAAAAATGAGGTAAATAAGATGTGAATTTACAGAAAATTAAAAGTAAGCTATATGATAATATGGCTTTATTTATTTAGCACGAAGAAATATAAAATCATTACCTGATGATGAAGAATAATTAGAAAGTTGAAATATAAATACTGTAATTATATACTGCAAACATTTGCAGTTTCATAAATTCTGAATACAAAAGATTTATTCAAAAAGAAATATCATGATTTACACAGTTTCTCAACTTTCAACCTCTGAAAAGATATTAATATTGTTGTATATATCTGCAAATATTTAAATCTTTTTATTGCACTGCTGTAAAACTGTGCATACATTTTCTTATTTATTTATTTTGTATTTGTGGCTACTTTTTTTTATATTAGTATTTGTTTCTTATATGGAATTGTTGATATTGTTATTATGAGTGTGGCAACATTCAAACTCTAAAATAGTGAAATGGAAGACATTCCCGTGAGCTCTGGTGACTGACAAAATTTCTAAAAGCTTACGCTACACCTGACCTATGTCAGTATTACAATATAAATGAAGCTCAGACTTGTTATTGCGATTCAACAACGAGATTTAGCATTAGGTAAACTGTGCAAGTGATTTTAGCAACTGCTGATATTTCTCATACACTAAGGAGAACTCTTTAACATCCATGTTCTGCTTAAATTATTTTGGGTTATTTATTGTGCTGTTTGTAATTAATTTTTATAATAAATGGTTAATTTCTTCCTATTAATTAGAGTGCTCATTCACAGAGATATGAATGAACCAGTAGCTAGAAACAATATGTTTTCCTCTTTCTAAAATAATTTTAACCTATTTTTTCTCATTTTTCAGTAAAACATACTACATTTAAACATTCTGAAATGCAATTTATTAAACAATTCTAAAAATCTGAGAGCATAAGTTTAATAAAACTGAATAAAAGTTATGCTTACCAGCAGTCTACAAGTATTCGTTTTGGAGAAATATTTTCAAACAAACAACTAGTCTTAGCCAAGTCATCATTTGTACATATGTCCATCAAAACAATCTAAATAATATAAATTTAAAACAGACTGTCATAATTTATTAATACAAAGTTGCTAACAGTACACATATTTTTTTAAATATCAGTACGAAGTATATAACACAGCATTCTTTTAATTACAAAAAATTTGATGAAGTTACAATTTTTGTCATTTTCATATTCAATCCTAAAAAATATTAGTGAAAGAACATAAAAGAGAAATAATCTGAAGTTACACAATCATTCAGAATCTTAAGCAGTTTATAAGATTACTATGCAGAGTAACTCACTAAGTTAATTCACGTCAGTAATATATTTGATATGAAGTTTATATGACAATTAAATAAATGTTTAGCAAACCTATACAAGATTTTACATTTATTTGCCTTCTTCCTTATTCACATTACTGTACTTTAAGTGCATTACGAAAACATTCAGAATGAATTGAAAGAAGAAAAAGGACTTCACAAGTCAGTGAACTGCATTGAAAATCAGGAAATTTTAATAGAAACATAAAATGCTGCCATACTTTTTTTTGGGGGGGGAGGAATCTCATCATCCATTATACCATTACCACAATATTTAGAGCAGTCAAGGTTAGCAAGCTTGTTCTAAAATGGTTCAAACAGATATGGCAGAATAACTGCTACATTAAAATTGACACTTTGAGGTCATAGTTACTCTCCTTTATTTATAATCATAATGTGTGTTGTCATCAGCTCATAAAGGAAAAAATTACATGAAATGACCTTTATTACACAACAGGTTATCAGGCATGGTATAGGTGGGAGGCCTTAAAGTGCCTTTTCTAAAGTAACGCACTATAGTTTTTGCCATAAGAGACAATAACTGGCAAAAACTCAGAAATTAACTAAAAAATTATTGTAGTATAGTAAACAGTATGAGTACAGTAGTATAGTAAGCAGTATGGGGAAATGTATATTTTAACAAAACAAGTTCTGCCATTATGACATCTTCCACAAAGACATTTATAGCAGAAAACCAACTTCATTACTGTTAGAAAGCTCAATTATTAATTTACTGTGAATAATTAAAAAGCTTAAGATCTTTCGAACCTAGCACTGTTTGCAGGCAATGTTATCATTTTGCAGATGTGAGTTACCAATTTGTATTTTCTTCATATAATAATCCAGTGGAAGGCTCAAACATTTTGTAAGACCTCACTGGAAAATTATTATCAGGAAAAAGAGCTAATTTTGTGCCAAAAACTATGATATAAGACAAAAAGTATGGATTTATGTCTTAGCATTTTCTTCAGACTGCTTGATAATGTAGATGGCATATACTTTGGAAGAAGCATATAAACTAGCATGTAATGTTCAATTATTGCCTGAATGAAACTATCTTTAAACTACTTTTCAAAAGTTTTCCCAAAATTATTATCAACTATTAGTATTAAACAAATTTCACTAACAAAATAGAAAGTTAGCTTTTGAATCATATCCAATGCAACTGTAATAGGTTAACAGCTGCAACAAATATTTTACTTTTTTCATAATTATGACATTATTTTAATCATTTTAACAACTACTTCGTTATCAATATCAGCTTCATGATTTTCACATATTTGTAAGTAATATGGTCAGTTTCTTATGAATGATTCCATATAACCTGTCAGACTATATCACTTTGTGCTTTTCATTATTTATGGCTTTATAATATCTGTACAGAATCCTTTTAACCCTTTACTCGGCATAATTGCTGAGAAGCGACATGTGTTTTTATCATTTGCCAAATAAAAGGTTAAGTCAAGGATACTGAAATTTTACTAAAAGGTTTTTAGGATATTCTCTGTTGAAAAAGGCACTGTAAAAATTTAAGTATGATGAAACTCTTAAATCTGATGCATGTTTTGACACCAGTTATAAAATAAGCCAATAAAATTAGAACAACAGGGTTAAGCAGGAGATTCAGAAATTATGAACTGTTCTTTTTTATGATATATGGAGACCTCATCCTTCACTTAAAATGTGGTGGCTTTCTACAGGTTAAGTTCTCAGCAGATTTTGCAAACCGAAGCAACAAATTTGTTATTTTGGGAAAGAACCTGTTATGCGGCGAGAAATGGACGTTTTATTTAGCATTCTTAGTTCACATAACAGGAAATTTTATTGAAATTAAATTACAAGGCAAAAACAAATTATTCCCAACTACTTAGTAAACGAAATTGATACATTCAAAATGAAATTAAAATGTTCGTCTCCCAGATAAAAAAAATGAAGAGTTAATTTTTACTAATATAAAAACATGCTGAATCTATTGAAGATAGCAGGAAATTTACAGAATATACTGTGTGACGATATATGCACACCTCAGACACACAGGTGCTTAATGAGAAGAACTTCCTGTTTTGTTCAGAGACTAACTGACAGAGAACTTTGAGGAAAGGTGTAGCAGAAATCCCCTGGTTCGGTTTCCAGACATTAGGGACAGTAATTACCCCATTCCAGGCATTTTTCCGACAATGTGCAGAATAAAACGAAAGAGAGGATCTTTTTGTGAGAGCTTTTTATGTAGTGAAAGACTTGGAAGAAGATGCAATCCTGTGTTGTGGCTGCATCCAGCGGCCATTGTGTGAATATTGGCTGTAATGGTTAATTATGTTATTTATTACTAATCTAGAATTTTTTTATTAAGTTTTTAAAATAAATATTTAAAAGGCAACAGTTCTTTTCTTTCACCCAACATGGGTGTTCAGACGTTACAACTGATAAACCTAGATTATTGCAAGAGTGTTGTTTTAGCAATTTTTCTGAAGAAAAAGATTACATGCTTGCATTACTAAATCTTTTTTCACTTACTCAATAAAAAAACTTGATAAAACCCTTTAACCATCTCAGCAGCATGAGTTTTTGTATCTTTCACGAAGATCTGTATTTAAACGGCCTTGTTAGCTAAATTTGTGTATTTACTTATTTTAGTCTCTGTTTGCATAATCCTACATTTATTAAGATGACATTTACATTATAAAAGAAAGTAAGAAAACAACCTATCTTAAATTATAAGCTAATATATACCAAGTAGCGAAAAATTTCATGACCAGATAAAGATGCTCATAGTGCTCAGAGACTTAGTGATCTCCAAAATCAATTTTTTATATAAAATAAAATTTAATGAACTTCCATTATTGTGAGATGTGTCTAATATAATTAACTTCTATCACTGGTTCCTATGTGAGCATTTTCAAGAACTAATAAAATTTGCTCAGAGTTATATCTACCATTTTCAAAAAGCACTGAGGCATCCATGAAAATGCTTAAAAGCAAACGATGATCTAAACAATTGATTCAAATAGGAAAAACTGCTTGATGCATTCTGTAAGTAATTTCTGTAACTGATTTAACTGCAAGTAAATGCAATGTAATTTTAAAGTGTTCATATTGCCAAATGTATACAACAAATTATTTTATTCAGTAAACTGTTAAATATATTCCGTATCACTATATAAGGGATTGAAAAAATATGTTTAGTTTTTTTGGCCCACCTAAGACTGGCCATTCCTATTTTAAGCAAAGTACATTGATGTCAAATTATCTTTACATGTCTGCAATCATGGATTTCTCAGAAATTGTGTAATATAATTTTATGAATTTGTATGGAATGATACATAACATCATAATGACTGAACACAAGGGAAAAAATTAACAGCACTGCATGTAAAATAAAACAATAGCATGAAACGATAAAAATGGTACTAGTATGGGTACTCTTCTGTTATCAGGACTGGATTCAGAAGTGCATGTATGTATCCATATATATGTGTGTACACACACAGATACATATATACATACATATATGCATGCATACATTGAATACATACTTACATACATTTCTGACCCGGTCCTCATATATACCATAATAAGTACCATAATATGTTATAAGGAAAGTTCAGGGAAAAAAATTAAGGCTTATGAATTTAATATGGAATGTGATTTCTCCTGATGTTACATACATATCACAATGTTTTCATGCTCTCAATAATATTTTTAACCACAGTTTGAAAAATTAATTTCTGCTCTTTCAGCAATACAGTCTTTAAGACATATACATCTTTAGGAGAAGGATGTCTCTGTACAACTGCTTTTTCAAAGTAGTCTTATAAGTTCTCTACTGGATTAAGATGAGAAAGTTTTGCTTGCCACATTATTTACTCAATGTCTTCTCTTTCAGGAATTAATCAATGAGATTTGCTTGATGTGAACCATTATCATTCATAAATAAAAAGTCAGATCTAGATGCATCTCCAAAAAGTCTTACATAAAGTTCTGATGTTCTTTTCACCAATTACAGCAATTCCTTACATAAGGTTCTAAGATCTTGTCTTCAAATTCTCTGACTGTTATTGAAAACATGTAGGAATCTACCGATGATTATTCCTTCCTATATTGTCACATCTACCGATCATTATTCCTTCCTATATTGTCACACCCACATTACCAAAATGCTTATGTTCCATAATATTTGAAGGAAGATTTTGTGTTCTTGATTCCCTCCACATGTAAATACATTTTGAGATGTTAAGCTAAACCTTGACTCATCAGCAAAGAGGAAATGAGACCACTAGTGCTCACTGATCCAGTTCTGATGTTCTTTTCACCAATTACAGCAATTCCTTTTTTGTTGTGACAGTGAAATGCATACCTTGGCTTTCTGGTATTAAGGCCTTTTTTACAGTTTGCCATGATACAACAGTTTCAGTGGTTACCATAAGTTCTAAATTGAACTGCCAAAGAGCAGACTTGTTGTTATGATGGGCAGTTATTGCTAGATATCAATCTTGAGAAGCAGCTGCTATTTGTTTATGACCTTATCCAGGCATCCTTACAACAGTTTCAGAGTTCTGAAATTGTTTCCCTAGCATACAGACCGTCTTGAAATATTTACACATTTCACTGCTCCCATGATTATCTGTGCTGCTTTTAAATGGGTGATAATTCAGTACTTCATAGATTCTTCCAGAAGATACTTCAGAGCCATAGTAAATTTGAATTCTTACACACTGAAATCATATGCTGTATTCTTGAAATTCAGATATTTACTTTGCATAGAGCACCTGATTCACCATCAGATGATGAATGCCTTGATTTGCATTTCAGAAAGTGTTTAATCGCTTTTGATTGGATAACGCTAATTAGGCCATCTTTCACACATTCCATGCAAAAAAAAAGAAATGATTAAATTAACTGGATATTTCATGGAATATTATTAATTTTGGGTATATAAAGAAAGATAAATTTGGAAATGAGTGTACTCTAATTTATAATGAATACTTAACATTACATTTACAGCACACTAAGATTATAAAAAGAATGTTCATATAGCAAATTAAGGTAATAAACAGAAAGTTTTTGCTCATTATGAATTATAAGAGCTTTCATCTTGCATCTGCATTCTTTAAAACTGCTATTCTTCCCTTAGCAATTTATGCAGAGTTCACTGCAGGCTTTTTTTTTTTTTTTTTTTTTTTTTTTCACAAACCCTGTATTTATGGAATACATACATTTAGTAGTAACAAATTTAGTGTAAGTAACAATGAGATCATTAGGCTGTTACTGCAACCATTTTACTGTGGATTTCCTTTTCAGTTTCTTGTTTCAAGTTATCAAGCCCTTTATTCGGCATTATGCACTATAACCATTCAGCACAGCCTTAGCTATTTGGTATTAATTCATTACATGCATCATGCAGCCACTTGGTTCCTCTTAGGAAATACAGATCACAGTCTTAGTATACAGGTCATACATACTAAGAAATAATGCTCATAGCATACTGGAATATAACAGCTCTTAGCAGACTAGAATATTAAAAAACTTTGCTATTATCACATCAAACACCTCTCTGAACTATGGAATTACTTTAATAATAGTCTCTCAGTCTATTCTTTGTCATTTTCTCCTCATATATACTATAAAAGATACAATACTGCTTACGGCCATTCTAGGTTGACTGGGACACAACCACTTCCACAAAATCTGTGCAAGGTGGGTCCTCCGCCAGCTGACATTTGATCAGAAGTGGTCATGCATGACAGTCTGTGAACAGCTTCTGAATCGGTTTCGAGCCAAAGGTGATGCCGCCTAAGAAAAGCAAAACGCAGCCATCCACTGGAAAGATCATGACAAGTGTCTTCTGGGATTATCCATGGGAATTTTCTGGAAGAAGGGAGCACAATTAATGCCCAGTATTACTCCACATTGTTGAGTGGTGCTGTACGAAAGTCCATTTGCAAGAAAAGACCTGGGATGTTGTCTGAAAATGTCATTCTTTTCCACGATAATTCCCTCCATGATAACCGCCAATGTGACAACAACAACTCTGGCTGAAATGTGCTGGAAAGTTCTGCATCAACCCCCCTACACTCCAGATTTAACACCCAGTGATTATCATTTGTTTGCACCCCTTAAAGGCGATCTGGAAAGGAAGAAATTCATGACAGATGAAGCACTGCAGAACGATGTCCTCCATTGGCTATGACAACAACCAAGTTCTTACTACACCAAAAGAATTAGGGAGCTGCCACAATGATGGCAATGGTGTCTTGACATGCACTTTGAATATACTTTGAAATAATAAATAAAATGCTTTGAAAAGCTGACATAGTATGGTGCTTCTTGTGCTATCTGTTTCCTCTGAAGAAGTAAAAAACCCCGTCAATCTTGAATGACATTTCTGTACAACAATTACACTGTATTTAATATTACATGAATGCAATACTACATGCATGATATTTAAACTATATAAATGATTTTATATAAGGTCGTGAATATGCATAGTTTTTAACAACATAAAGTATACAGAAACTAACTTACTAAGTTAAATATAGGACTACTGTGTAAGTCTTCCATGCTATAAGCAGTGAAATAAGTATTTTTAATAATCTTGAAGAATACATTCATAAATTACTATGAATAAATACTAAATTTTACTCGAATACTGAAACTTCATTATTAAATCAGAACAATTAAAACAATTTTAAAACAAATTTTAAATATAGATTTATGAATTTTGACTGCAGACATAAAACTCTCTTTCTTCATTTGAGAAGTGTTAATGGGTAATGTTCTTCTTTATTTTAAACAACATTACAATTTAAAACATACAAAATATTTAGATCTCGAGATTCTTTAATTTTTTCTCTAGTTTTTATCCTGGGCATACATTCTTAGTCCAACTGAACATATGCGAGCTATGTGAAATGAGCTATATGAACATCTGCGAGATGAACAAAGCAAACTCGCACATGTATATCAGACATTTTTAAAATATAGAATACGGTTTAAATATATTACACAGATCTGCAGCAGCTTAACACATATGCCAGAAAACATCTTTACAAAACTTTGTACCTTCCACACATATTAAATAAATGTTAGAGCGCAAGCTTTAGAACCACATTACAACTTGTTTGATGACTATCAGCATGGAAATGTTACAGTATATGTGTGCAGAACTGGTGTACCACTTAGGCATACATGATATAATAAAAAGCGCATACAAAATATTTATGGTGTTATAATTAAAATCTGAAAGACTTTTACTTTATTTATTGCGACACTCGTTATTTTATTTGTATTACTACATAAAACACAGCATTTTAAAGACCAGTGAATTATTCGTAATAACCTTGTATGTTTTTATCCCGGTTTGTCTTCTGCACACTCATTGCAAAGCATTAAAATTAATGGGAACTGTTCAAATATAAAAGTGCATGTAACGAAGTTAAAAATCGTCATTTTTTTTTTTTTTTTTCAATACGCTAAATAGATGCATTCCTTAAGCAAAAAAAGAAGAAAAAATTCAATAAATTGCAGTGAATAAACAATAATTTACCTTTGAAAATACATGTTCATCTACAGTGAACAACAAATTCAAGGAAGCTTCACACAATGTTATGTCGATAAAGCCTTCAGCTGTAGGAAGACCCTGAGAAGAAACAAGAAGATTAAAAAATTGGTGTCTGGTCATTTTTAAATGAAAACTGCTTAATACTATTTGTAAAATGTAAATAATTTTTTTCAAATGTTATGATTTAGACTTGAATAAATTACACCATGTATATTACCAAAGTGAATGACTTGACTTTAAACTTCTTGAAACATTAAGTAAATAGATTTTCTTATGATAATATGAAAATAGCATGTAATTCGAAATGGTATAAGGAAGAAGAAATAGTATGGAATATTTTTAGAAGTAAATAATAAGAACATAAAATAAAAATATACTCCTAAAATACACAAAAAAATTTATATATAGTGTATATAAAGTATTGGAACTACAGTACAACTCCAATTATCCGAACTCTGACTACCAAATCACCGGTTATTCGAATTGCTTTCAGAATTTAAAGAAAAAATTAAGACAGAAACGTATTGCAATTCAAAATATAATGATTCTGTCTACATGGGCTATTGTCCTTCCCTCTGCGAAGCTAGTGCAGGCACGAACATTATTGGAATGATGAGTTACTGTCTCATAGTGCAGTTCTATTATTGGCTATAGTACTGCCATCCATCACCAGGTGGCTGCCCCAGCCCACCTGTCACTCTTCGTTTTAATTACTAGTCAGTCAGTGTGTCGTTGACCTGTTACAGTACTATGACAGTACTCTTTCACTTTAGTGCATTGTTTTGTTTGTGAGTTCATTTTGTTGTTCACCACAACTTCTAAAAGAAAACATGTTGTTTATCATTAGCGGATAAACTAAAAATTATACAGCAATCAAATAAAGTTGGCTGAGATGTATGGTGTTGGAACAATCAATGATTTCAAACATTAAAAAGAGCAAACCTACACTTTTAAACTTTGTGTTACTGCTTGAAAACGAAGATGGAAGTTCTTCAAGAAAATCGATGAAGGCAGCAACAAACAAAAATTTAGATGATGTCATTTTCAAGTGATTTTTCAGCAACATTTTATAGGAAACCTATTTCCGGATCCGATTCTTTGTGAAAAAGCTAGATCCTAGCTCAGAAGCTTGGTTGTTCATCCTTTAAAGTAAGTAACAGCTGGCTAAGAAATTTTAAGTGCAGGCACGGTGTCCGTGAATTAGATTTAAGTGGCGAAAAGTTATCAGTAGACTCCAAAACTGCGGAAGAGTTTTTTGAAAAATTTAAAACTGTAGACTTCTATAATCCTGAGTTTCCGCACAATGCTGATGAAACCAGTCTTGTTTGCAAAGTTCTGCCAAAAACCACTTTAGCATCTAAAAAAGGGAGTGTACTCCAAGACATAAAGTTAGTAAAGACCACGTTATGGTGCTTACCTATGGGAACTCTACGAGAAGCCATAAAATAGCCCTTCTGTTGATAGAGAAGTCGAAAAGCCCAAGAGCATTTAAAATGTAAAAAAAGTTTTAGCTCTTTCATGAAAACCAACCCAAGGCTTGGATGACTGCACCATTGTTAATGAGTTGTAAGACGAAATTTTCATCCCTGAAGTGAAAAAGCACCAAAAATTTCTTCAAAAGAAGGCAGTAAAATGCTGTCAATTGCTGATAATGCAAAAACTCACCCCACTGGAGAATTGTTGGAAAAAGGGAAAGGCCAGTTTATAATAATCTTTCTACCACCTAACGTCACAAGGCTGTTGCAATCAATAGACCAGGCTGTTATCGAAACTATCAAATGCCATTACAGGAGGCAACTTTTAAGGAAATTTTGGTAGAGAGCTAAGATGAAGAAGGCTAACCACAAAAAAAAATTAATTTGAAAGATTGGTGGTGGAAGCTTGGAGCTTGGTTAAAGTCACGTGAGATGTGTGTGGAACAAGTTGAAAGGCATATCAACTGAAGAAGAGAAGTAAGGGGAGAAAAAAGAAAAAGGAGATGAAGAAAAGGAGAGGGAAGAAACAGGAGAAGATTGAGGAAGATGCGCCATTTGAGAGATTAAGAAACATTCTTTTGAGAATTCCTGAATGTTCACAAGTTAATGCTGAGGATACAGGAGAATAGATAGTGTGTGATTTGTCAGACCCTGAGTTTCAAATTCTAAATGATGATGAACTTATTGAAAGTGTGAGAGAAGAAACTGTCGTGGGAAGATGACCTTAATGTCAAAGTTGAAGCAGACATGGGACCATCAGCTAGTGAAACGTTTGCCACCTTTGAAGTGGATGGAGCTTCAGCCCGAGTGTGCCCACATCCAACTTCTCATTGTGAAGTAGATGCATGACTTGGCTGCCCAACAATGGATGAAGAGAGTCAAACAGCTTACTTTGATCAAGATGTTCAGCAAACATTGACTTTTAGCAATTGTAAGTACCATAGCACTTGTAAGCAATGACTTTCAGCACTTGTAAATACTGTACGCTATATAACATATACATAAAAGTGTTGCCTTTTCATTTTAATTATGGCTATTTCAAGCTCCTCATGTCATGGTATATAAAAACTATGCCATGCACCTCTTCCAGTTTTATTACTCAATCATGGCTGTTTAAATCTGAAAAGTTACTCATATGCTTTTGTCAAATTATGTTGAGAAAAATGAATCTCAAGATTAAAGAGTTGTAATTATATATTTCTTTGTTTACATTCCTTCAATAAAAACAAGCATATTTTAAGGTTTTGTTTATTAAACATGCATTTCAAATTTTGCTTTATTTAAAAATTAATATTAAAAAAGTTTTTCCCCTTATTATTATTCTTATGTGAAAGATTTGAGGAATTTGAAGTTTCAGATTTCAGACAGTTCAAATTTGTTCTTACCTCTACATATAATTATACAAAGATTTGAAAGTAACCATATAACTTATTTCACTGTATTAATACCATTTGAATTACCTGATTTCTTAATAATTTGACAAGTAAGGATGGATTTAATTCCTTGAAATCTCTTTCAGAACTTAAACTGGTTATTTTCTTCCAAGAAAGTAACAATTGTGGGTGCCTCCTAACATAAAATACAAAAATTAAAATAATAAAAAGGAAAAAAGTATTAACTTTTAAGATATTGAAAAAATATTAGCATTTTTCTTCATTCCAGTTTATTACAAATACATAAATAGGTGCTTCTTATAAAAAGAATTTAGAAATATGACAGTCTGTTGTTGCTAGTTAGTGATAAATAAAACCTTTTATTTAATTTTTATACTTTAAGGTACCTGCGCATTAACGCAACCACCTTGGCATAATCTGCCCATTTTTTACAGATGAAAAGGTAAAAGCTACTTTTCGAGAGCAAGTTAATGGTTTTTGCACCTTTTTTTTTTTTTTTTTTTTTTTCCCTGGAAAGATTTCCAAACTATCAAATTTATCATATGTTAGTAAACATTATCAACATACGAAAAGAAAACATACTTCAGCAATTTAAGATACAAATGTGAATTATTAAATATAGGTTATGTGACACATTACAAAAATAAAACACTTACATTCTTCTTCAAAATTGTTTGTAATTTTTTTGTGCTATTCAGATTTATGTTTAGATAGACATGTGCTCCCAACACATTCTTGACCATTTATTTCTTGGGACAAAACAGCACTGACATTTTCATTGCTCGCATCCATGTCAAGAATAAATGGTTTGTCAGGATTGCTGCAGACATTAAAACCTCCTTCAGTTTGTTAAATGCATCTTCAAATTTTTTTGTTCACATGAAATTTTGCTTGCTCTCTGTCAGTTTGTTGAGGGATCTTGCGATGGAAGAAAAATTCTTTATAGCAGGATTCTCCTATAGCAGGTGCAAAGCAAAGGAAATTTCTAAGCTGATGGACACTTTTGGGGTTGTCTATGATCTTTACCTACTGACACGTTTTTTGGATCCATATATACACCTTCGGCAGGGATGACAAGACCGACGTAACCCACTCTTGTCTGAAGAATTTACATTTGGCAGGACTTAACTTTAGATTGGCTTCCTTCAATTTCTGAAACACCTCCTTAATGTTTTCCAAATGTTCTTCAAAACTTTTCCTGATGATGATGATGATGTTAGCTAGGTATATCAGACAGGCTCTGTAGGAATGACTTCTCAGCACAGTCTCCATTAAACGCTCAAATGTTGCTGATGCATAATGTTATCCAAACAGCATCACACTGAACTACCAAAGTCCTTGTCCGGTAGCAAATGGCATTTTTTCTTGGTCATCAGGATGTATCTCACCCTGCCAATATCCACTCATTAAATCAAGCATTGAAAACCTCTTGTTTTCAGAAAGAGTATCTAGAATGTTGTCAATTCTATGAAGAGGTGTCTTTCTTCGTGATATCGTTCACCTAGCGACAGTCAAGTCAAACCATCTTTCTATCTGACCAGGATGATGGGAAAGGCCCAAGACTTGGTGAACGCTTAATAACATTGATTTCTTGCATGTCCTTTAGAAGTTTTTCAACCTCTTCCTGTTTAGCAAATGGTAGACACATCTGGGATGTTGCTTGATTGGTGGATGATCTCCCATATCAATTCTATGAAGAGCCAAACTGATTTGACCTACATCAGAAGATGTGAGGGAGGAACATCTTGAAATTCTATACTGGTACATTCAGCAGCACTTTCCTATTCATCGCTTAGATGTGCATTCTGCAATAACTCCTTGTGAAAACACAGAGAACTGAAACTCTCTGAAAACACAAAACTTTTAGACTGGTTCATAAAATGCAAGTTGCTGAAATATATGCTGCAACCACTTCACCTTTCCTAATGACTCTCGTCTCATCCCGTACATTGGCAACTTTCATCTGGATGACAGTCCTCGATAGGTTGATTAGTCACAAGGCTATATGTACACCTTTCGAACTGTTACAGATCTTAGGATATTCCATTATGCCATAACGGAATTCCTATTTTCAACTATGAATCCAGGCAATAAAAATTCTACTCATGCTGGTACTAGGATACTGTCCTGGCCTGTTATTTGATGGATGGATTTAACTCCTTCATCCTTAATTCTGAACATAGTTATGTCCTCAAAAGCAGTTGATGCACTTTATTATTTTTGAAGTCCAAGGAAAGATTGTATTTTATTAGAAAGTCTGAATAAACAAGGATCTGTAATATTTCTCACATATGCTGTGTGATGGTAGGCAGCACTTCCAAATGTGACGCCAACGTTTATCTTTCCACTGGCATTGATTTTATTCCCTAATACAGTCTGGAAGGTAATGCAGTGTGGCGTCCAGATACGTTTACCTTTGAATCATTAGGCCAAATCTTTTCTGATGATAGTAACATTGGCTCCTGTAATGACAGTCAAATTGCAGGGAACTCCATTTATATGATCCATGATACAGAGTCCATTACAACCACCAATCATTGCAAAAATCTGAAGCCCTTTAAAATAGCACTTCTCAATACATGGTGATCTCTGCCCGTCCCCTGAAATAGCCACTAATTGGTTTAACTCCTTCCTGCTGACAGTTGTCTTAGCTCATATGCCTTGGGGTGTTCTGCAGTTTCTTTGTATGTGACCTTCACCACCACAGTTCCAGCACCAATTTATTTGCTGTCACGCATATTCTACTTTAAGGCATTGAATTGTCTAAATAAGCAGTTACTTGATTTACTACAAGTGAGCAGCTTTGATCCTCTTTACAGCCTCGAATTTCATGGTGTACACTAAAGCACTTTTTAGATCCTTGATATCCGACATTTGCAGGACTTTCTGTATCTTGGGATCCCTGATCCCATCGATTAAGTACTACAGGGACAGGATTTCTTTTGTTTCAGCTGGACAACCAAAAAAGATGAGATAAGACAGCCTTTTGACATCCATGGCGAGCACCTGGAGTGTTTCCATGGGCTTCTATTAGCAAAATTTCAACTGAAGCCTACTACAGTCTTTTACACAATTTTTGCCAAAGCGCAGCTCCAATGCACCGGAGAGAGCTTCAAAATCTAGCCTCTGGTTTTCAGGCAGAGTCTGAAGGGTATCTGCTGCATCTGCTCTCAGAGAAGGGGTGAGATAGCAAGCCTTAGTTTCGGAATTCCATCCATTTGCATTTGCCACCATAAAGAAGAGTCTTGTACATTTGCCAGTTTTTTCCATCAAATGTGAATAACTTTAGAGAGGATCGGAAAGGCATAGCTGTGGATTTAGGCATCAGAATTGTGTCCAGCTATGGATTTCTTCAAGCTGTCAGCTTCCTTTGTGACAGCACCAGAAACTCTTTTATTGATTTGTTGTTTGATGACAGAAGCTCTTTCTTTAATCTTCTTTTTAATGGATTCTTGGTCTGCTTTCATCTTGTCTTTAAATGTGGCAAAGGCTGCCAACAATTGTCTGATTTGTTTTTCCATAACCCTTGTCACCGGCATTCAACCTCATTCCTGACACCAAAAATTTGCATGTGTACTGGTTCATAATGGATTGAATCCATACAGAACTGATGATAGTTTGATAAAATATATTTTCACAACAAAAACACTTTACAGTTCTAGAACTTCCCACAGATGTACTTGTATAGCTCTTCTCAGTTTGACACAGCACAATTCAAGTAGTTACCACTTTAAGCTATTAAGAAGGTTAAGCACAACATACTGCAAAGTGGCTCTAAAAAGCAAAGCCTGCACTCTCAATACTTCTATGTTAAAGGATGATCTCTCCGGGCTTACATGTTTCCCCCCCACACACCGGTAGCAAGGAACCTTTAGTACTATCCACTTCTCTAATTTACTGGAAAGCGTATAAGGGAAAATTACATATAGGAATCAAGTTCAGTACAAATTACAGTTATTCAGGGACCATACCAAAATGTCACTACGTTCAGCAAGTTAGTCACAGTAATTGTTGCCAGCTTAGTCATATCTCGCCAATTTAGCGAGAGATACACTCAGACATCTCAATGTTAAATAGACTCCCTCGTGTATTCTGGCACAGCTTCAATTTTTCAAGCATTTTATGCTATATTATACAAAAGATACTACAATTGCACATATAATTTGACTAAAATTATTTACATACACATAAAATTCGTAACAATATAAAGTATACACACAAATCCCCAAATGAAGGCATTTCCTTCTCAATTAGAGAATAATTCTTGGGTGTTTTACTTCAGTCTATAATTCAATCTATTCAGTTAGCAGCTTCACCCTCCAGTTTTATGATATCAAAAACAGAATAATTTGTTTTATTGATCCTACAAGTGAGTTGAGACCACTGAGCACTGGTACTTCAGCCTGGGTCCAAATCCAGGTAAATGGGCTAGCTGCAGGTAACTTTAGAGAGGATCGGAAAGGCATAGCTGTGGATTTAGGCATCAGAATTGTGTCCAGCTATGGATTTCTTCAAGCTGTCAGCTTCCTTTGTGACAGCACCAGAAACTCTTTTATTGATTTGTTGTTTGATGACAGAAGCTCTTTCTTTAATCTTCTTTTTAATGGATTCTTGGTCTGCTTTTATCTTGTCTTTAAATGTGGCAAAGGCTGCCAACAATTGCCTCGTTTGTTTTTCCGTAACCCTTGTCACCGGCATTCAACCTCATTCCTGACACCAAAAATTTGCATGTGTACTGGTTCATAATGGATTGAATCCATACAGAACTGATGATAGTTTGATAAAATATATTTTCACAACAAAAACATTTACAGTCTAGAACTTCCAAGATGTCTTGTATAGCTCTTCTCAGTTTGAACAGCACAAAGTAGTTACCACTTAAGCTATTAAGAAGGTCACAACCTGCAAAGGGCTCTAAAAAGCAAAGCCTGCACTCTCAATACTTCTATGTTAAAGGATGATCTCTCCGGGCCTACATGTTTCCCCCCCACACACCGGTAGCAAGAAACCTTTAGTACTATCCACTTCTCTAATTTACTGGAAAGCGTATTAAGGGCCAGATACAGCTAAAATTACATATAGGAATCAAGTTCAGTACAAATTACAGTTATTCAGGGACTATACCAAAATGTAGTCATTAGTTTTTCCATATGTAACATGAATAGAGCATTTTCCCTTAAAAATTTCTTCACAAAGCAATCCCTTCCCTTAGGATGATCCTTATTTCTTGTACTGGCACCTCAATGTGCCACTTCATTCATTCCTATACAAAAAATATTTGTGTAATGTGCTACTCTTTAAAGTTTGTTTTATTATTTCTGAATCCCCTTGTATAATACAGTGTTTAAATAAGGTGGCAGTGATTTAATAAAGTACTTTTTTAAAATGATGATGAACATTTCTGATGAAAATTTATGAACAGAAACCAGTTGTATATTTTTATAATGCAAGAAATTATATAAATAAATAGGGTCTTTCTTTAAAATATAACTGACTATAAGACAGAGTTTTAAAATAGTTATTTTTTAACAAAAAAATTACTAAACATTGTCAATAAAACAAGTCTTAAAGTCATATACATTTAATTACTATCACTGTTAGACTTCCCTAATTAAAAAAAATTATAAAAGAGCTTAAACTAACACTATTTAATCTCGAGTGTCATGAATATTTTTATCCAGACATGAGATTTTTGCCACTTTATACATTACCTTATTACGTAAAATATTTTGCATTTTTACTTTTTAATGAAATAATTATTGTCTTAACAAACGGAGGTCTATGGCAACAGAGACTAAAAAATGTAATTAAGAAATTGCACATATTTAGCTAATACAGTGGAACCTCGAGATACAAGTTTAATTCGTTCCAGCATTGACATCGTATAGCAAATTTCTCGTATCTAGAAAAAAAAAACTTCCCCATTGAAAATAGTGGAAATCCAATTAATTCGTTCCGAACCCCCAAAAATATAAACATAAAAATCAATTTTTCCAATAAATAACACTGGTAAATAATATAACCCTAGTTTACCTTTATCATACCTTCCGACACCAAATCACCTTTTAACTGGTTCTCGTTAATCCACACCAACAACAGCTTCTCAACATTCTCAAGTTTTAGACAGTGCTTGGCAGTAATGGCAAATTCACTGGCCACATCAAGTTTCTTAATTTCTTCCTTCTTCTTCAGAATAGTGCAGATCATCGATGTTAAACAGCCATAAGTCTTCACCAATTCCGTCGCTCTTACACCACGCTTATGTTTACCTATGATTTCTTTCTTATTCCAAACTCCATGGCTTCCTTCTTTTTCCTTGCAGCGCTATCTGAGGTAACAATCTTCTTGGGAGGCATCATAAAATAATTATTTTCATGTTAAATGTAAAAAAACAATTAAGTCATAAGCGCACAAACACGTAGATCAAAGAACACTGAATTATCTGACGAGGGGATTTACGAGTCGAGCTGGATTGGGAATCGGCGCCACTCATACCATGAGCCTGGCTACTTGCTCATTACTCAAGTCAATGCTCATATTTAGCTGAATTTTTCGCTCATACTTTCCTCATATCTCGAATTTCTCGTATATAGAGGTGCTCATATTTCAAGGTTCTACTGTAAATGCTTCTTAAATGAAATACAGGAGCAGATTAAAGGGCCATATCGCTCAGAGGGTTAAGAGTAAAACACAACACAAATCTACAATATATTCCCAAGTATTTTGTTTAACTACTGAAAAGTAGTATCTCTTAATTATAGTATTTAAAGCCTTCAAATACTCACCCTCTTGAATGACTCATCTTGACAGCAGATGAAACTACACTGATAGCACTACGCTTATTGCTTTCATTGTTCAGGAGAAAAGGAATAACCTATGAAAAGTACTTTATTGAATGTTTAACAAAAAAATTAAAAACAAACAAACAAAAACCACTTCAAATATTTTAGTTCTTTAAAATAGATTTCAGAATATGGAATTTGGGAGATGGACCCACATAATTATATCTTAAATATAACTCATTAATTCATTCTCTCAAACACAGCAAACTGCATTTCATTTGCATATAAAATCTATGACAGGCTTGAGCAACTTGAATACATATGCCAAGCATCGCAGTTAGGAAGATTTTCAAGGGCATGCTGGATGCATTGAGATATAGTTACTATAACCTTACAAAATTAAATATTTAATGAAATGAAGAACATCATTCTTTTAAGATACTTCTGTTTATATATACTTTCAAAAGAAAAGTTGTGAACACTTTAGGTAAATTCACATAGAAATCACACAACTGTAAAATTTAAAGATTTATAAAATTAAAGATTTTCACATCTTAACTAACAAGTTTAATGTGTTGCTTAAAGAAAGCTGAATTTATTCTACTTTTAGTCAACTTATACATGTAAACAGATTTCCTAGCTCCTGGAAGTTGCTTTGAATTTACAGAGTTGACAAATATCTATGCATTAAGAACTCTATGCGAAGCTGAAAGTTAACAAATAACAAACTTGATACTGAATAATTAACAATGAACAAGCAAGAACAAAGCTCCCATGAATTGATTATGATTTAAATCAATTACAATTAAAGTCAATTCATATTAAACCTTTAATAACATGCTTTGAATCTGTTCTGTTACAGGACGACAACGGCAAACAATTTTCTTTAGAAAGATGACTGACACTTGCTACGAAGAAACATACTTTCACCATCAGATCATTGTGAGAATGGTAAAACTTTTCTAAATGTATAATAACTAAATGTATAAAATACTGTTTAGATCATTTATTTCAATAAACAAAGAATAAAATAGAATGAAACAATTTCTTTTTTCCTAGATAATGCTTACTTTAAAAACAATATTATTATTATAAGAGGTAAGAATACATTTAATTTAACAGTGGTCAATAGCCAATGTTGGTATATAATTGATTTATTTAATTGCTTTTTTTCCCCCAAATTTTGGATTTTTTCTTGAACTGCACAATAAAAAATTTTAAAATGATTTGTTCTGAACTTTGCCAAATATAGTTTTTGTATCTTCTTCATTTTTGGTGAAATGCTGAATGATCATAAAAGAATATTAGGTACATGGGAGAAAAGCCTGGGTAAGCTTATCACAGGCATACCATTGTGTATATAATGCCAATTGTAATTACTGTTTCGTTATGCCTTCGAACATCAGAAGAATTAGTAATGGAAATAAGTGTAATCAATTATTCAATGAAACATCTCATGACAGTATAAACAGTTTATTTTACAAATCTACTAAGTGGCAACTCTAGCTTTGACATCTCAAACAACACTCAAAACCTCTACTGTTGCCATATGTGATTCTCTAAATTACATCAAACAATGTTAATATTAGATAGATGTTTAACTTGACAATTACTGTTAATGCATGTATATTTCCAGTAATTTTTATCCCTCTTTTTTAAAGGCTTGCTGCATGCAGGTTCTATAATTATTGAAAATATAGTAAAGATTATAGATGAAAATGCCATTCAATAACAGTAAACGTGATGAATTTATGATTTTAATTTATAAAATAAATGCAGGATTTCACAAGTCATTCTAGATGCACAATGAAGAAGAATGGAAAGAAAAGGATTCAATAATACAAAAAGTGAAAATAATAGTGAAAATGATAAGTTTGTGATTTTATTTAACAAAGTAAATTGCATGTTACACCATTCAAGGAACAGAATTGGTAAGAACTGAAGGACAGAAGTTGATTTTCATATGTTACTATTCTGATTATACAGGATGATTAAAAACGTATTGTTTAAATTTCATGGGCAGACATCTGGGAACCGATTTGACATAGAAAAGTATGTCCGCAAATGTACGTGAGAGCGCTGTGTTTACTCAACCAGTATACAGCTCACCCAACCACTCCCGTTGTCATCGGTGTTCAAACTGACTTACTAGTGATAAGATTAATCACTTTAAACATCAAGAGCTAATAGATGTGCATCTTGCATAAGAGGCAGCTGGCAAAAGCGGCCGCTGACCTAGGCAAGTTTACAAAGACCAATACACAAACAGAAAAATATCGCAGCATCAAATGTTTGCACATGTACATCGCAATCTATGTGAACATGCATGATATGGGGAGAAGAGGACTGATGCAGACTGTCAACATCGCAGAAGAGTCCTACAGTCCATTAAAGATAATCCGAATACCAGCACACAAGCTACTTCAATGCAGCTTGGGGTTCAGTCAGTAGTATAGCAAATACTACTCGAGGAACCTGTGCATCCTTACCATCTGCAGAGGGTGCAGTTACTGCATCCTAACGATTACCCAAAGCTGGTGGAATCTGCACAATGGTTCATGTAGAAAGGTGCCATGGATCCCCGTTTTCCACTTTCTGTCCTTTTTACAGATGAAACTTCATTCACTCATGAAGGTGTGTTCAATACACATAATTCACATGTGTGGGCTTTGCCATAAATGTGTGGGCTGGAATCATTGGTCACTGTTACTTGCTATCACCCCAACTAGACAGCAGGAAATACCCAAGCTTTCTCAAGACAGTTTTACTGACTTTTCTGGACACTGTTCCAGCACATATCTGCCGAGATATGTGGTATCAACATAACAAGTCTCCAGCTCATAGCACAATTGCTCTGCATGATTACCTGAACCAAACATTCGGAGCTCAACGAAACGGCAGAGGGGGACCAATCGCTTGCCCACCCAAGTCACCTGATTTATCACTCATGGATTTCTTTTTGTGTGGGGCCACGAAAGACCATATGTACGATACCTCCGTCAACAGTGAAATGGACCTTGTTGCATGAATAGTGCCCACCCCAGGAACTGTCTGCAATATGCCAGACATTTTTTAAAATGTTCGCCAGTTAAAGCAATGATGCTGTGAATCCTGTGTTCATGTAAATGTTTGCAGTTTTGAATACCTCTTGTTAATCTGTGCTTTACCTTGTTGGAATAAAGATCGCATTCCTTACCACTGAAATGTACTGTTTCCTCGTATTACTTTTATTTGTTCATTTTATTTATGTAGATAATGTTTGAGGACGTACTTTCCTATGTGAAATCAGTTTCCTGATGTCTTCCCTACCTCCCCATGAAATTTGAAAGATAAATTTTGAATCACCCTGCATGTCAAATACCTTTGAACTATTTTTTTGCTAGTCCTAAACCAGTTGTCATATTGAAACAAATAATTATAATGGGAAGAAAACAATTCCATTTTGAATACTACCTTGCAGAATAAGTTTAGAGAAATAAAATATTTCCAATGCATTCAGATCACAAAAAGCTATTACATATAAAACGTTTATCAAAATAAAAAGCAAAATAGCTTTTTATGCATTCAAAAATATTCACCCATATGATTTTACAATGATACAATGATTTTATTCTGTTGGGAGTCAAAATGCAACAATTGACAACACATCATCACATAACGTCAAATGATAGCTATCATTATTTGCTTCAGAAGAACATGTATCCCCTTCACTGTCCAGATATCAGTTTATATTTGTTGCTTATAAAGCATTTCACAATTATTGTGCTTTAAACATGATGACATGCTAAAGTAATCATGAGAAATGTTTATAGGAATTCACTAGCAAGTCTTTAATGAAAGTTTCACAGAAAAGCTATGTTTCTATTCGTAAGAGAGTGAAAAAAAATTATTAAAAGTGCATATTAAAATACACTGGACTCTTTTTTTACAAATAGATAAAACTAAACTTTTTTTAATAATATGATTTTGTACGACTGCAGTTCCATGGTATCTTCCTGAAGCACATATCGTTTATCTACTGGAAGGAAAATGAAAATTTTTTAATACAAGGCGTATTCGGAAACTAAGTACTGTTTTGAAAAAAAAAATTGTAAAGCAATTTTTTCGAATCCAATTTTATTTTTACACTAAAATACATATCTTAAACTATTTTTCAACATAGTTTCCGCCAATGATCAAACACTTGTCATAGCGGATGACCAGTTTTTGTATACCATCATCAAAGAAACTTCCCGCCAGTTTCGATAGCCACGACTCCATTTTTCGTGTCATCATCAGATCCAAAGCGCTTGCCACCAAGCTCGCGCTTCATGTGCAGGAACTAGTGATAGTCAGACGGCGCCAAGTCCGAGCTGTACGGCGGGTGATCGAACTGCTCCCAATGAAACTGTCAAATTAACGATTGAGTGACACCAGCAGTATGGAGTTGAGCATTGTATGGAGCACACCAATTCCTTTACTGAGCATTCCTCTTTGTTTGTTTTGAATGGCACGCCTTAGTTTTGTTAAAGTCTCACAATATCGTGCCGCATTAATGGTTTCACCTCTGGGAAGAAATTCAGTAGCAAAACGCCCTTTCCTATCCCAGAAGACAGTGCACATGATTTTTTGTGATGACATTGTCACTTTGAACTTTTGTTTTTCCGGAGAATGAGTCTGTCTCCACTCCATCGATTGTTGTTTTTGATTCTGGTGTGAAATGACACACCCAAGTTTCATCACCTGTCACAATTTGGTTTAAAAAGTTTTCTCCCTCATCACTGTACCGCGTGAGAAATATCAGGGCACTACCAAGTTGCTTTGTTTTGCGAACATTAGTGAGCCTTTTCGGAACCCATCGGGAACACAGTTTGCAATAATTCAAGCAGTCAAACACAATTTCGAACAAAACAGTACGTGAAATTTGTGGAAATGCCTCTGAAATAGTTGTCATTGTGAAGCGTTTGTTCTCATGAATTGCTTCATCAACTTTCCTTACCAAACCATCGGTGACAACAGAAGGCCGACCACTTCGAGCCTCAGCATGGACATTTCTTCGACCTGCATTAAACATTCTTACCCACTTTCTCATCATTCCATCACTTATCGCGTA